TAACGTGGAGAGGGGGGTCGTACTTGAAGATGGAAATTAGGGGGGGTCGTATTTTTCAGGAAATGATCACAACGCAATGGCGTACCCTGGTGTCACCCCTTCAAAGCTATACTGAATATATATTCAGTATCTTCTTATTTCTGACAATTGTACTTTGATCACACGTATTAATTGTAACTGTTCTCACATCATATGTATAATTCTCATGAAATTCCTTTATGTTGTTTCTATTAACCGTTATGTTTAACCGTTCATCGCATTCTTACTCTGCTAACTATGAGAATATCGTAGTCTCTCGCAAGCTTATCAGATGAAACCTCTCCTCCGCGTTGCAACTTTCCCAAGCAGGCCGGGCATAAAAGCGACCGTAGGCAGCTTGAAGGTAACTAGTTAGTTTCTTTCTTGTTATTTCTATTGTTTCATCTCTTTGGATTTCCCTTGCCTGTTGTACTGCACTAAAAGTTTCTAGGAGCACGATCACTGCACTATAAGGCGCCTTTCCTGCACTAAAAGGCGACACAAAGTAGACGTAGGTAAATTTCTATAACTTTCATTATGGTTCCTTAAATAAAAATTTAATTACCCAAGTTTGAGGTCGGTGTGTAAAAGTTCCCGCGTGGCAGACCTTATACGATCCAATACTACACCCGACTTCAAAAGCCGTTCTCTGCCTTCTTGTTGAAGCGCGCATGCGACAAAAAGTGGTAGAAAACGAGTAATACGAACGATATGATACAGTCATATCATTTGCTCGCTTTAACAACTGGTGGAGAACGGGTTTGGCACCGCGCCAAACTCATCCCGCCTGACACGCCCAACCGTCCGCAGCAAAGTAGACTATAGCAGGTGACTACTAAGCGATGTCGCGCTCATGCTACGTGGGCTGGAGGGTGGAGTTCTGGACTGGTCACTTCGAGCATCTAAGAGCGGGGACCGGTGAAGATGGAGAAACGAGTCATTTTGATTTGGGTGATAGCCAAAGAGAATGGAGAGGGTTGCGGCCAAGTCCCTCCGCACAAAGTTGCGGAAGATGAGATGAGCGCTTCCGCGCGGTCACCTCTCCTCCACATCTTTCCTCATGAGTCTTACTAGAGCCTGCTGCTACAATGTTTCACTTACGTCATCGTCGTTGTGTAGTTTTGCGTGATGGCCAATTGATCGTTTTGTCCTGGCATGTGAAAGTGCCGGCTGCACGAAATGGAATTCGTGCTCGGAACCGAGAACCTGAAATCAGAAAAATTGTTGTCGTGCTTAAATCATTCGGTAAGATGTTCTCCCATGCAGAAGGCTTGGTTCAGTCCCATAACCCGCACCTTTTGACACTAGAATGTGAGGTGATTCTATCAACGCGGCGACGTCTGCACGCACGTGCGTCACGTCTCGACATACGCGCGCACTTCGCACCTGACCTAATTTGCTGAACAAAGAGCAAATAGAGCAGAGCAAGGAAGAGCAGCCGCGTGAACTGGGGACAGAATATAGTGGTTGTCGCAACATGGGTAACGTCTCACGACCACACGAAGCGTGGTGTTTGTTTTCGATGAGGAGTATGCTGTTATCCACCACGTCGACTTTTTTCTGGCGGTTGAGTATTTAGCCACAGTCCAAAGTTAAGCGAAATTGTTGCAATATGGACAAGAGCATCTCAGTACTCCTCAACAACCGAAAGTAGTTGCCGTTGGGCACAATAAGGCTAGTTGACAGCTTAGGTACTTTCGACAACTCTGAGACGCGGTAAGCCGCGTACTCATTTGAGCAGTGTGGAGTGTGAGATGTTTGTGGGATATTTCACTTCTCAAGAACCGCCTTCTTGTATTGTGCTGGGCAATACAAATGGCTACAAATGTCTCAAAAAGATATTACCCCACTAAAAGTGCTGCAGCAGTTCAGATGAAGCACGTTAGCCATGCCTGCACATCTCAGGGGGTTTGGAGGTAGTTCAGAACATGGTAACTCAGACAGTTAGGACTGTTTTCTCCGGCACTGGGAATGTTATCAGAAACTTCGGCTATTGGGAGGCATGCATCGTTCTGAAGAAATGATGGACCCTCGAGTGGCTCACTTGACTTGATTGTTGACTGGCAATTTCAATGGAATCTGTATCGCCGTATGACAGATGAACACTACTTTTCGACTGCTAAACACTCAAATGGAACCAGAAATACCTCAACATACCTGGGAGGTCATTTAACAACTTTAGTTTCGTAATTAGACGCCACTATTCACACTATGCAATTGCGGGGTTCGTCTCCAATTTCAATTGGTGTTCATAACGAGCTCTTCGTGCCTCCTCCTTTTACAAGTGCCCCCGGTGGGTTCGGCAAATGCGTCAACTCTATTTCAGTGACGTATTATATTGATCGCTGGATCATTTACATACCGATTACATTAATGAACAATTATATGTTATAAAGTTATCCAGTGAAAGCGCTTATAGAAATGTGTTAGCTTCTATCCAATAGGAAACGAAGCGCGACAGCACACATTCCTGAATTTTTAGGCTTTTCAGATAGATTTAGGCTTTCCATGGATTTGTGCGGACCTGTTTCGACAACTTTAAATATGTAGTTTCTGAAGGTTTCGCCGTCTTCTGCCTGTTCCTATTGACCTACTTTGCCAGGGCCTGTACCTTTAGCATACACTCTGTATCCAGGAGATAGATGTGTACTAATCGCGTACTCCGTGCAGGATTTTTTTCATTTGAAACCTAATTAAATTTATCTATCATATTGAAGCCCAGTCAAGTACTAGTATACGAAGTCAAGTACTAGCAATAAGGAGCTGAAAATCAGCTCAGAGGCACACTTTGCGATCGTAAGTCATATGTTCCAAGTAGAGCTAGTAGTAGAACTTCCAACTTGCATGAACTAGGATGAAGATGAAAACAGCGATGAAAACCACCATCGTGCCCTCCCCAAGTCGTAGAAAGATAAACAAAGTGTAGGTTCCACACTGATAGTACTAGTGAAGCACTCACCGGTCCCCTGTTGATGAAACCATGTCTCTTGGCGATTTTGTGTGCGTTTTCTAGACCGGGTTCCTTGGTGTGTACATGGAAGTGATTGGTATACACTTCGAGCGCCTCGCCAAGCGAGGCGAGGATTACGATACTCAGCCAGGTAACATCCCAACTGAGTATTCTCATACCTGAAAAGATAATTTATACGATATGATATGCGTGTTTCTAATCCAAGAATGCGATGCGAATCAGACGCCATGACGACGTGAAATTAGGCACATGAAATACGGCGATCATTACACATTCAGGATGGGATGTAACTGAGCGGAACCCAGGAACGTTGGTTTTTTTCCGCTTCATGTACGTAACATATGAAGTAAGCGACAGCGGAAAAGTAAGTCGGTTCCGCTGCAGACGCTTGGGTGTGTCAAGGGGCAGGGTTTGATGTGGTGCCAGCACATCTCCCACCCATCGTCTTGTCGTCTGCCCACCTCAGAAACTGGTAGACAACGAGCTGGCGTTGCGCCAAACCCAGCCCCTCCCCGACACACCCTAGCGTGTGAACAGGGAACGATAGGGCTATTTCTGATATTTGGTCACATCCAACATCCAAGCTTGACGGTTTCTTGACTTTCGAAGGCATAAAGCACAACAAGTTGATATGCGCTTGAAAATAGTCGCGAGAGTGCTACACAGAGGGAAATAACGAAAGAGCCGAAGTTAAAACTCGCAAAAACCTGCAACGAAACCTTTTCCTACGACCACTGCCGCCACATTCTTAGACGAAATTTCCCCATGTGATGCGCACTCGTGCCTATAACCGCTTTAATAGGCTACGCTGCAAGTATGTCTTCATTGCATCCATGTCGTCAACGCTTTTCATATCAATTGTCTTTGACAGTCGCTTAAAGAACAGTATCGATCTGAGATAAGCGGCGCCGAGCTTCTGTCCTAACTAGGCGTTACCATTCCTACCAGCTTGTGGGATTGGTCGTGCCATTTGCTATTGAGTCATATGTTATAGATTTTCTTTCTGAATCGGTTGTGAAGAAGAAATAAGGCGAGGAAAAAGAAGAAAGTAAAAAATACTGCTGAAAGAGGTAATCTATTCGGAACTGGTAGCTAGTTTCGTCCCTCTGTGAGCAGCACATTTCATGGAGTCGGTAGTACACAGCTAAAAATGGGAGCCCCAAAGCCATTCGCCTCCTTTACGTTACGAGCCGTCTTCTCATGCAGTGTGTTGACATTCTCCGCTTTCTCTGTTCATCCTACTGTAGCAGGTAATATAAAAATGGTCTTTCCATTGTTTTTCTTTTCGATAGTGTGAAGTAATTACCATGAAGCCATTGATCGTTCAACTTCGCTTGGTTGGATCCGGCATAATTCTAAGTAAACGAGCTTGTGACGAGTGCTCACACTAGAGCTTTTTGCCAAATTACATCTGATCCGTGAAAGCTGGAAGTGCGCTCGTCCTTGAAGAGCTTTCAGCGCTAGCGTGCTTGATGGAATTTATCGCTTTTTTCTCTAGTCCCGTCTCCTTCCCTTCAAAAGCTAGCAAGCTGCCTCATTGGGCCAGTAGTTGCCGTCACTGGGCTCACTTCCGTGATCATGCTCCATACTTGACCGAAGCCATCGTATTGACGTTTTTGAGTAGCTACAGTTTGTAACATCGCAACCAGTCGGGAACGGCACGAGAAGGGTGGGATGAGCCCGCTGCCTGATCCACCAATAGTGACCGAGTACTGATCGATTCAGGAGGAAGCAACCAATGGTGGAAAAGCCGCGGGTGGGAACTCTGACTTCACCCCAACTGAATGCGGTGATACCAGCTGTATATGCGTCGAGGCAGGCGGAGGTTGTGTAGTGGAAATGGCCCGCTTACTATGTGGTCCGCGAGTCAAATCCCCGCTCGGCTTACACCGGCAAACCAAGCCACCTAGATCCCTGGGACGATAAACTGATACCAGATTAGTCTGGCAGGATTAAACACTGATTTGTACTTTGCTGGCTCCCACAATTCATTGTATGCGCTATATCGCTTTCAGATTATCACTACCATTTTATATGGAAGTAGAACCGAATCCCAAAGAACCGCAGCTCAAAGAGATATCGATCAGCAGAGAAGGCTTTGATCCTCCTTGACGCCTCGAGGAGGGGGGGAGGTCACTTTCAGCGGGGTTAATACGTCACAAAGGTCGCTTGTGCTGATCCTACCTCTAGATGATCCTACCTCCAACCCCGAGAAATCATCCCTCGTCATTGCTTAATCAGCTTGAGCATGACGTCGCTCAACCCTGCCACGGTATTACTTCATATCGGTATTTCATTCTTTGTCTACACCATCATATAGAGAGCATGAAGCGGTTCTGTCGCGTAACATTAGCCAGAGTGTGGCGGAAGAACATAGCTTCCGTAGCGCCCTTCCTTTGAATCACGATTGCGAAGTGTGAGCGCGCTCTTAGGAAGCAGGAGGAGGGAGGGAAGTTCAAAGCTGCCAGAATAACATTGAAACAGCGATGCGATCTGAAAAATATGGGCACTTGCTAAGATTCCAAAGCAGAAAGACCGTATTTTGAGATTTTTACGATGGACGCTATACGACTGCGATAGCGATAGAAAAAGGTTGCCAAGCGATCAGATCCAAGCCGTCTGCACTAGATCGGCGTCATTTTCGTTTCCATAGTTTTTCCCCCTCCTAGCGCACAACGCTGCAACTTTTGCAACTTCTAACCAGATTTATACAACCGTGGAGTGTTAAATTTGAGGTGCAACTGCAGTAACTAGCGACAGCGGCTAAGCGCATGTTCACTAGCTGGCGGTATGATCGTGCTGAGCCTACTGAACCTGAACCGTCTTGCTCGAGAAATTTTCTGTAAGAATATGAAAACAACTTCCGGAAGACCACTGTCCCTGTGAGTTCTGACCACCACCACGTTTACGCTGCATTTTGCGAACGGGAAAGCTTCCACCTCACTCATAATTGAACGTGAAAAATTGAGACGTGAAAAATGCGCGAAAGAAATAAACGGTTCTCCTATTCTGAGCGACGAGAATCGTCAAACGCACTTGGCTCGCAACAGCAACGAAAGCCAAGGTCAATGGGGGAAGTTACTGCAGGCGCCCGCTTGAAGGACTCTACAACTGCGGGATTGGTGATGACGATATTTTATTTTGGCGAGTTTTGAAGGCACTTTCTGCGTCCACCAGGTGGAAGGTATCGTTCCCATACACGATTAGTCACACCTAATGTACCAACTCTCCCCCGGTAAAATGCATGATGGTAGCTTATAATTCCATCCCTTCCTTAGTCTCCTGTCGTCTTTCTCCTGTTGTCATACTGGGTGTGCTCTCCTTTCGTTGTCTGGCCTCTAGCCCGGCGCGCCTGGCCTCTCTGCGATTATATTAATCGTATGCTCGTTCTATCACAAGAAGTGCCACATACGGGAAGTTTTCGACTTTATTCTCTGGTTTGCTCTTCGTGCGATCCGGTAGCATCTACATATTTCTATTTGGAATCTACTAGCCGCCTATCCCGATAGTTTCAAGGAATTCTCCCATTTTGGATTTCACCAATCTCTACTCAGAGGGCAGTGGGTGGGTGAAAGAACCAAGCTCGTTCCATTGAAAACGTCCTGCTTTATAGTGCCATAGTACAATTTATGGCTTTATGAATTGCTACTCATTATGGGTTATGAATCAAAAAAAACGACGAAACGTACTATAGAGTGCGTAACTGAAAAAGTGCAGAATCGATAACTCGAAATGAAAAACAGTAATAGTCATGAGCATTCCCTGATAATCCAGCCAGCGTTAGGCGATAAAGCTAAGGAGAAAAGATTTCTAAACCTGCTAGAAGGCAGTGGGCACGATAATTTGGTTCCCTGCAGAAACGGAAGTGGTAGAATAGAAGGCAGCAGCGAAAGTGAAGCGAAAAATGCATGAAGCAGTCAAATGCGGTTCAAATAGGGCCCTTCTCCTCTGTCAGGGAGTGAACATGCTTGCGTCTGAGGGATGACGCCTATGTTGGTGGACAGGGGTGAACTCGAAAAAATCGAGGATGACGGCAAACTTCAAGACAACATCAAAAAGTAACCCTTACGAAATCCGAGACACATTGATGACATTCCCCGATTTTGATATGTGCCTCGAGAATTAGTCTCCGCCGAGAGGCTTACGTTGGACGGGAATGACGAAAGAGCGAAGTTAAACTGCCAAAAAACCTGCCCAAACAAACCTTTGTGTCTGCCACGACATGGCAAGCGATTTTTGGGACGATTTTTCCGGTTGATGGCATCGTGCCTAGTTACGCTTTAATAGGTACGGCTGCAAGTATGCATTCATGCATTCATGTCGCAACGCTTCATATCAATTGTACTTTGAAAGTGTTCAAGAGTACCAGTGTCGATCTGAGTAAGCGAATTGTGGGGCGGGCGGGTGCGGTGTTCATGTGGGTCGGTATATTGCAGTTCACAAGACGCTATAAGGGTACCTTTGTTAGAGAAGCGCTTTACAGCGCCTACTCAGAGGCGCCGAGTTCTGTCCTACTAGGCGTTATATCTTACACGCTTTCTGGATTGATCGTGCCATTTGCTTTTGAGTCATATGTAATAGGTTTTCTTTCTGAATCGGTTGTGAAGAAGAAATAAGGCGAGGAAAAAGAAGAAAATAAAAAATACTGTAGGAGGTAATCTATTTAGAACTGGTAGCTAGTTTCGTTCCTATGTGGAATCGGTAGTACACAGCTAAAAATGGGAGCCTCAAAGTCATTCGCCTCCTTTACGTTACGAGCCGTCTTCTCATGCACTGTGTTGACATTCTCCGCACGTGGTAGCAGGTTATATAAAAATGGTCTTTCCATTGTTTCTTCTTTTTTGATAGTGTGAAGTAATTACCATGAAACCATTCGATCGTTTACTTCGCTTGGTTGGATCCGGCATAATTCTAAGTAAACGAGCTTGTGACGAGTGCTCACACTAGAGCTTTTTGCCAAATTACATCTGATCCGTGAAAGCTGGAAGTGCGCTCGTCCTTGAAGAGCTTTCAGCGCTAGCGTGCTTGATGGAATTTATCGCTTTTTTCTCTAGTCCCGTCTCCTTCCCTTCAAAAGCTAGCAAGCTGCCTCATTGGGCCAGTAGTTGCCGTCACTGGGCTCACTTCCGTGATCATGCTCCATACTTGACCGAAGC